GAGAACATCGAGAATGAGGGTGTGGGATGCAGGTTGATGCCCGCCCTCCTGCGACCCCGGCTCCTGAACAGTTTCTACCAGGAAACCGAGCACAGCCGCCTTGACATCTGGGAATAGGGGTGTAATGGATTGTAGCACGGCATCCTTGGCTGCCCGCGCGTGAAGCGGCCCGATGACGTGCTGCAGAAAAAACACCCGCCGGGCATCGAGGATGTTTTCGCGCGCAATGGCCTTCTCCTCGTCTGTCCCCGTCGGATCCGGCTGCTCGAAGAAGACCTTGTGTGCAGCTTGGGCGTCGCCGGAGAAGTAGGGAAGCAGAACACTCTGGTACACGGTGGAATCTTCCGTGATGGGTGTCCCGGGAAGCACTAGGGTTACAAGATTAGCCAGGCATTAATACCATCATCGCGGCGAAAGACTTACTCTCAATAAATGTCACGGCTAGCTGCGCCGTCTCATGGTCGTAGAGTGCTGCCGCAGCAGCCGCAACATCTGCTGGCGACGCCGTCGTCGTGTGCGCATCGACGGCCGGCAGGGCCGCCATCCGGCTCTGGATGTTCACCATGACATCCGACGCGGCGACGGCGACTTGCTGGACGGGAAGCTCTGTATCCGATTGCCTGGCACGCTGAGCTGCGTCATTGCCTGTGAGGAAAAGCAGCTGCTCCAGGCTGAGGCCGGCGTCGGTCAACTGCTGGAGCTGCTGGATGACGTCGAGGGCCGCCTGGGGGCTCACAAACGCGGACTGGCTCGGGTCCAGGACTGCCTGCAAGCTCGCAAAGTCGACCGGGTCGACGGCGAGCAACTGGCAGAAGACGGCGATGCGGTAGACGGCCGTCAGGTTGGCCAGATCGAGCTTATCGTTGGTAATCTTGGCCGCCGCGACAACAGTGGCGAAGCCCTCTTCCGTCAGCCCGCACGCCGCCAGGAGCGGGGCGCGGTTCGCCATCAGACCCGCACCGGCCGTGAGGTACTGCCCCTGGGCGTCCGGGCCGAACACCGGGTCCGGCCGGCCAGACTTGGCTTTTAGGAAGAGTCGCGCGTAGAGAGACCGGTCCCCATTCGTGTCCATCGGCCCCCACATGGGCATCAGCCGGAACACGTCGACGCCGGTCAGCGCCGAGATGCGCTGAACCGCCGCCATGGCCGTGATTGTCTGCGCCGTGACCCGCGTGCCGCCGCCGCCGCCGAATGCAACAATGGCGCAGTCGAGATCTTGCAGCGTCCACCCGGTCCTGCGCCAGAGCCGGATATACGACTGCAGCTGCCAACAATCGAGCTCCGTCAGCGGCGCCTTTGCATTGCTGCTCGTCGGGTGGCGCAGCCGCAGGTCTTGGAGCTCGCCGGAAAATGTGGCCGAGCCATCCGCGTTCTCAAGCACGAGCTGGCGCTGGAGCACTCTCGCCCGAAGCAGATCCAGCAGATCCACAACCGTCATGTCCGCCCGGCGGAGCAGCTGGGCCTTGACGAAGGGCAGCCCCTTTTCGTCCACTTCGGACAGCATCAGCTGCGCTGCCGTTTGTCCGCCGGCGGCCTCGTAGCCCCAGTACGCCGCCGTGCTTAAAAGGCCAATTTTCGCGTTGTACGCGTCTTGCTGCATGCTCGGGTCGAGGACTGCCTTGAAGAAGTCGAGGGAGAAGATGGAGGCGCCGGTGATGGCGACGTAATCGGCGGGGGACAGCCCCAGGTACTCGGCCGCCTGCGCGCTCTGCAACACGTCTTGCGCTAGACCAAGTGTGTCTGTTGTCGGTGTTTTGGACAAGAGGCGGGACGCGGAACCAAACAGCACCATCACGTCGGCCAGCGATGCGTTGAGATGCGCAAAGAAGAGGCGCTGGAGGTCGAGCGCCTGACTGTACGGAAATACGGTGAGCGGAAACGCCTGGGCCGCTATCTGATTGCTGTAGACGCTGTAGTCGGTGTGTTGCGGTTCGGAGAGACTGACCTCGCTGGTGTCTTGGTCCGTCATGTTGAACCCCTGGATCGGGACGGGCGATGGCGGCAGGAGGCTGCCGACGTTCTTAATGAAGGACTCCATCGCCTCGTTGGCGAGGTCAATGTACGGAACCAAAACGTTGGTATTGACACAGGACAGCTGCAGCGTCAACAGGTCGGGTCGTCGGGTTGCCATCTTGTCGAGGAGGCTGGGTGAATCGGTTTTGGTGGCATCGCTCGGCGTGTTCTTCAGCATCCGGAGCAGGTCCACGAAGTAGGCCGCCGGGCTGCTGACGGAGCTGCAGTCGTCACAGGCCCCGATTGTCATGTCGCCAAAGATCTTTGTGTAGCTGGTGACCTGCGGCGAGGGGGCCGTCGTCGAGGCTACTGCCGAGGCTGCCAATACCGGCGGCGCAGCTTTCGGGCGAGCCAAGGCGGCGAGCGAGACGTCGTGTTTCGATGCCAGGAGCGCCGTCCACGCTTGTTCGTTACGCATGTCCACGAGCGTCGCGTGGTTGTGTATGCGGACGGCGCTCGCGGCTGGAATGCCGTGGCGGCCGATGACTGTAACGAATGAGTGCCTCGGCGTGTGGGCGATCTGGTGCGCAGACATGAATGACGACTTCAGAAGCGCATCGAGATCTTGCGGCAGTCTCACCAGGGCCTGCAGTCTTTGAAGCTTCTGGATAAAGCTCTTGAGCGCCTCGACATCCTTCTTCTTCCCAGCACTCAGCGCGTCCACTTTGCTTAGCAGCCTGTCGACTGGGTCGCGACCAATGTTGAACCCAGACGACACGGCTCTATCAAGCAAATTGACCACGGCGGTTTGGATGGTTTTCGGCTGGATGGTGAGGTGTCCCGCTCTTACCAGGCTGTAAATGGTCGCCGTCGGCTGCTCTGCAAACAATCTCATCTGGAAGTCCTCCACGCCGGCTCCCTCGCGGTCGAGCAGAAGGCCGTAGCAGCGAGCCGCATCGGACATGGAGCGAACCTGGCTCTGTCCCCAGAACAGGCTGGCGAGTTCGACATTTCCTGCCGCTGCCCGGTCCAGGTCCGCGAGGAGGGCGAGTCGGCGTTGCGACTCTGGAGTGCTGCCAACACCAGTGCCAACCGAGTCAATAGCCTGAGAAATACTTTTCGTGCGGTCGAGTGCGGCGAAGAGTCTGCTGCTGTCTTTTACCAGGCCTTGCAGGAGCTTCTTGGCCTCCTTCAAGCGCCTCTCGTCTAGCTCAGAAGGCATTGCGGTCAAGGGGCAACTGTGATTGCCAGTGAAGCTCGGCAACGCTGGGAGTACAAGGACAAGTCTAGTGCCAGGTCGTGTCTTTTTTTTCTCTTTCTTCTTTTCCCCTTCTTTCTTACAGTTTTGAGGCTTTATCTCGTGCGACCTGAAGATGGACGCCCGAGAACATACAACAAGAGCGGATCAATCCCTTCTTACAGAGGTACAATTCGCAAAAGCTGGCTGTGACACGAGGTCCAAGGTGTCGACCGCAAAGTGGCGGTCCAGCTACAAGGCCATTGCTGCATAAAATTGATCTATGAAACTAACCGGCTTGATAGCTGACCGCTCTTTTAGGCACTTCCTCTTTCATCTCTATGCAGCCGCATATTGAAACCTTTTGTGCCAGATGTTGAAAGCAAGGCAGCTACTGCAGGTCTTCATGCAGAAACCAACCACATATGCAAGTCTCTAAGCGCTCTAGGCAATAAATTATTTAGAAAGTGTATGGCACTACAGCTGCGGCCGCGGGCCGGTCACCCGTGTAGGCAGGCCTTATCTATAATGCAAGGTGCATTACAGGCAGCTGCTTGAGCCGGAGGATCTTTTGATCAAATGGCTATTTGTGCGTTGGGCACACGGTATCAGGAATTGCAGGAAGCAACGACTTGTGAATTGTGAAGCCATGTAACGATAAAGCAAGTCAACGTCAATGGTATCTTGGATGAAAGAAGCTATCAAATGAATAACGAAAATTAAATATAAGGAGAGTTGGGAACAGCTGTAGAGCAGGCCATGGTTCGTTGGCGTTATTTCCTCACGGGATACTTTTTTTATTGTGCAAGTTGAAGCACGGGTTTAAACTTGCACCAGACTTTAGAGTCCATGCCAGGTGTCTGTATAGTGTTTACGAGATGGCCGGACAAGTTGCCAGAAGGGCCCGATCGATGACGAGGGGAAAACAGCAATTGACAAGGACCTTGACGCAGGCAATCGTGGGAAGTATGAATGCAGATATCGTCACTCTGGCGTCAGCCAGTCTCATTCTTTGACCCCTCTTCTACAAATGCAATGCTGTGAAGGCACCTGGCAACGAGGTCAACGTCACGTCAATATCCCACATGCATGTCGTCTTTGCTTTGCTGCTGAACTGCCGATATATGTGGGTCGAGGGCGGAGACCGCAGATGTCACAAGCGGCAGACGCATCCATGACAGATGACATTGAAGCTGACCGATCTGTGATGTAACAAAGAGGCTACCGGACATATGTACATGCATGTGCACATGCGTACATGTGCTACTTAAGTGCTTGGGTAGCCCGCGTACGACCGGACATTTCAATGTTCCATCAGTTGATGCCCGCAACAGCCGTGGAAAGAGGGGTCAACGTCGACTTGACGGTTGGTTCCGTCTGGTATCCCGGCTTTGGTCGCATGGAATCAATGGCTTTCAGCTCACAGCTCGGCCACCCAGAGACCAGCAGCTGTCAATGCAATAAACAGCTGCACACGACCGGAATTGGGGATTGGTGGCTGGCTGAGGGATGTGATGCTCGTCTCGGGGCCAATTGAGATGACAACGTCGGAATGGAACTATTGGCGCAATGCGATCCATTACGCGGCCGGACCGGGGCGGATTTGATAGCTGCGATCAATATGGATTCATGGGGCGGGCAGACTGGCAGACTGGCTGGGAACATTGAATCAAGGAGACAGGCGTCCATGTCTACTATAAGGGCAATGGGCCGTTCCGCCGTCTGCGCCATCCGTGGTCTGGTCGATAGAGACATCAATTGATAGTAAACTCACAGCCAATTCCCTGCCTATTCCCGCCTCTCCTTCACCATGACCGACTCCGACGTCCTCCTGCGCCTCCAGACCTCGTGTGCGACGGCGCACGGTCATTACGACCAGGTGGTGGCCGTGTCGCAGAAAATCATCAATGACTCCTTTGACAAGCTGTACGAGCAATTCCCCGACTATGGCAACGTCGACTTCTCCAGCCATCGCATTGGTAGCATCAAAGGGTCCCTGTACTCGCCCCGCCTGCTGCTGGGCGGCGGCGTTGGCGCCGATCTTTCCCTGACGTCGGCCCTGTATGTCATGCGGTACGTGATGTCAATGCAATGTGAACCCTAACCCTTCGAACCCTAACCCTAGCTCTAACCAGTGCGGGAAACTAACCTCGACTAGCTTCAAAGACGGCAACATCACCATCCCCGCCGACGACGACGACGATCCGGATCACGTCGAGGCGCTGGCCGGCTGGAACCTCGCCGTCACCATTGACCTCAAGACCCAGAGCGTGGTCGTCGATCCCGATGCCGATCCCGATGAGCAGGCGCGCCAGCAGGCCATCTGGGACTTCATCCACGACAAGTTTGACATCCCCGGCGACTACAGCATCGAGCGGCTGTACGCCAAGCTGGCCGGTGAGTCCCCGCGGCGTCTCCCATTGAAGCTCGAATACTGACATGTGATGCGATGCCGTCTAGATGCGCACTGGCGGGACTTTGACTTTGCCAACTCGCAGTTCGGCGTCAACTCAGACGGCTCCAAGAGGTCCTGGGGCCAGTTAATCAAGCAGTACCCCTATCTCGAGACGGATCTGCAAATCATGCTGAACCACTGGGCGCTGGACCAGGAGCAAAAGGGCCTGACGACGACGGGCGTCAAGTTCAACCTGCCTCCGCCCGAAAAGAGTGAGCGCCGTCCTTTGCCATCTTGCCCAGCTTCTGCGCGCCATCTCGGCTGACATGCGTGACTCCCAGTTGATCCCCTCAAACCAACCTTCCAGCCGACTGCCATGATTCACCAGGTCTACGGGTACACCAATCCCGCCAAGGGGGTGCCCAAGCCCGTCATCTCCTACGAGGTGCCGGGCGACCTCAATGCGCTTCTGTACTGCGAGATGGTCTCCAACCACGAACTCCCCAAGGATAAGCAGCTCGCCTCCGCCGGCAACTTCACCACCCAGGCCTCGACCATTGGCGGGCCGCGCATCGACGGCACCTATACTCTGAGCCATCAGCTCTTCCTCGAGAGCTTTCTACTGCCCATGCTGCAGGCCTTCAACAAGACCTCCATCGTCTACCCTACGGGCGGCAACTTCTCCTACAGCGGCGGCACGAGCACCATCTCCTGGAGCTATGCCATCGGCAACGACCAGGCGCACCAGGACACCAACGACCAGTTCTTTGTCTTCAAACCCGTCATCAAGTCAGGCACGCAGTCCGACCCGACCGCGTACCAGTTTACGTCTGAATACACGTCCACCCTCTCGCCGCACGGGCACAACCCCGACTACAATGTGTACGGCAGCTACGATGCCACGGGCACCTCCCAGGTCGACTTCAAGTGGACGCCCGGTGGGCAGGGCTTTACCCTCTCGGGCTTGTCAGTGTACAAGTACGACATCGAATGGGCCGACAACGATGCCATGCAGCGGCCCTTTGGATGGCTGAGGTAAGGAATCCCCCATCCCCAGAGTTACATACACGATCCCGGCCCTTTTGCAGTTATTGCTTCTGCCAACCGCAGCGTCCAGTTGAAGAGCTCCTCGCTAACCCCACACCAGGGACAGGTTTGAAGCCTCCTGGAGCATGGGGATCAACATTGATAGCGTCGAGGGAGGCGTGCTCAAGCTGAGTGTCAACGCCGGCTCCAAGAGCGACTGCAACGCCATGGTCACTCAACCACAACACGAGCAGCAGCAAAGCTATTCGCCCCCAAACCAAGCAGAAAATATCCGGGCCGAGATTGTCAGACAAATCTCCACCCACGTCCAGACCCTCGAGAAGAACTTGGCCGAGGCCTTTCAAACGAGCGCCAAGTTTGTGTACCCGGGAAATGGTACCTTTAAATTTTCGGCGCCGTGCGTTGGCAACATGGGAGAAATCCTGGCCACCATTGAATATCAACCGTAAGTCCACTTCCGCCCACAGAGAGCGAGCATATCGTGCGTGGGAAACCCCCAAACTAACACGGGCGACTGTCTCTCTCTACCGCAGCCTCACGTCCGGCAAGACCAGCGTCCCTTCTCCCGTCACCAATAAAATGAGGTCCATGACGCAATTCGGCTATAGTACGAACCCGGTCAGCGCCCCCGGAATCGCGCCCGAGACCAAACTCGACTGGTCGTACCACAAGCCGCTCAAGGGCGGACAGACTGCCGTCGAGGTGCTCATCCAGGGCAAAAACACGGGCGCCGCCCCCATCATGCTCAAGGGTATTTCCTTCACGCTCAGCTCCGAGCCCGAAGGCCGCGGCCTCGTGACGGCCAACAAGTTCAAGCCCGGCAGGTGGACCCTTGGCTCCCCGGACTCGACTAAGTCCAACATCTTCCAAATCGTGGTGGACGCAGACGGCACGCCGGCGTTTGCCAACGTCAAGGTCGTCCCCGGCCCCATGGCCAGCGATGGCTCGACGCCCCTGACGTTTACTGGCACCGGCGAGGCATCCGTCCCCTCTGGCGGTGCCATCACCCTGGCCCTCTACACGGGCACCGGCGTCCCGAATACCTACCCCGTGTCTATTACTGAGACGTGGCCGCCTGTGGATGGCTCAGCGAGCCACAACTTGCCCCAGTCAGTGAATGTCATCTTGTCTCCTTGAGGGACCAGGGGCCAGGGAGGGCTAGGGTTCAGTGCTGGGATATAGTACGTCAACATGCGGTGGTGACATGGACTGTTGTGGAATACTATCACGATTGGCGACTGTACATGGCATTATGGACTTGTGGACTTGTCCTTGGTGGGATTTATCCTAGTAGTGAATCGGGGCCGTTTGCGTAGTTGGCAGATTTGTTGTTGGGGAGCGAAGCGCCCATCAGATTGAAGGTTGACTACGTTCTCTTTGAAAAGGATGTATAGCATGTAATCGATGCTCATTGCTAGGCCTTAGGTCACTGTTGCATGAAGCATGGTCCTGGTAGGTATTTAAAGAAGAAGTGGCATTTGACCACCCATGAATGCAGTTGCGGCAACGACTCAAGCTCCTGGCTGTAAATGGTTCGATGTAGCAAGATAATATTGGAGCGGTGCCGTGCATGTTAGAGTTCTGAAGGTACAGGAGGCCTGGTACAATGAACTTGGTTCCAACACCATGTTGCATGGAAAGGTTGGGCCTCCAATAAATCCCTCTGTTCTACCAAGTACGGAGCTCTACGTATATTTATATACCCCTATTGACCCATAGCTAAACAGAGTTCCTAGAAACGTGGTCTTCAAAAAGCGGCATGTCGTATGAACATGGATCGGTGATTCCAACAAGATTCAATGACTCCAAACCTCCGGATAATGGATAATTGCTATGTAGCCACTTTGCCCCCACGCGGAGAGGCTTTTGGTAGATTACTGCTTGAGATTACCATCTTATTAGTTTCTCACTGGATTATACACGTCGCCCGTCAACCAAGGCAGAGTCCTGGAGCCGTCTTCTTTCTCCACATGTAGCCGTCTCAAGGCTTGATTCAACCCTGGACGTCAATCTTACAGACTATTTCCGTATGTTTCTACAGACCAACATCTTGTTGTTGGTTCATGGCAGTGAGATGCAAAAGTCCCACGCATTGCGTGTGAAACTCGCATATTGACCCGCATTTGACTCAATGGATAAGTGGCTACAAAGTTAACCATAACACCGGAGTAACAAGCAGAGATGACAGGTGCCACAGCCTTGGCTGGATAGAGTAGGGCTCAAAAGCAGACATCTTCTGATAACTTTCCAGGACAAAGATTCAAGTGCTCGAGAGGGAATAAGGTGAAAATCCCGCGCTGGGCGTATCTGTCGCAGTGCATGTGTCTCGCCACCGACTTACCAACAAAGCACCCATCCATCGTCCTAGCACATGTCTGTTGGCAAAGAGGGACTTGCAGCTAATAGCTCTCGTCCCTGAAACGTACCAAAAAACGTCGTGGGATGCATTAACTTGCTTCCATAGGATATACCAGATGTATCCCGCATTCTGGGCTCCAAAATGTTCTACGTTATCGGTCGCTCTTTGCAGTCTCACACAAGTTACATCAGTATACAGCAGCCACGAACCAAGATTGAAGACAGGCGAGACATATCATCAGAGGGAATAGACAATTTATTGATCAGTATCATGATATTACTTTTCTTATATTACGGGCATTTATCCGACTCCATGTGCAATTCTTGGGTAGCTAGGAGAAGTCGCAATCGAACCCTGAGAAAAGAGGTTTTCATCCATGCAATAAGATGGATACTGAGTCTGACGTGTTCGATGCCAAAATTTCACGGTACTGGATGCCTATTCTCTGGGGCGTTTGAGTCGGCGAGATTTGCCTTGATCGCCGTTCCCAGGCTTTGGCTTGGATACATGTCCAATGCGTTTCCGCTCCATTTAAAGGCGGATATAACCCGCCTCCCTTCCTTCTTTGGGGCCAAGGCTGCGCTGTCATTGCTACAAGTTAAAGTTTGACAACTTTGCTCAAGTTTGTCCCATTGTGAAACATTCTGCTCTTTTGCCATGAAGTCTATCCTTTATGTAGCTTTTGCCGCTCTGGCAGCAGCTACTACTATTGTTGTCCGCAATGATGAGACCCGTAAGTTCCCTCTCACCAAGCCCGGGACAATTGAATCAGGAGACATTCAAGATCACTTACAGTGTTACAGACGTGGCCCGCAGTCCACAATTTCAGGTTTGTTTGAGCAGTCTGCCTTGGCCTTTCTAGCAGCTAATTGAGTCTGCATAGCCATTCAAGGCCGACGACAGCGCTTCTCACAAGCGTGCCCCTCAGTTTTAGGTAGGTTTGGGTACGCAATGTCCGCATTTCCAAGACGTCCACTGAGTGTGTATAGCCCTTCAAGGCTGATGACGACGCTGCTTATAAGCGTGATTCTCAGTTCCAGGTGCGTTCAAGCATTCAGCCTTTGACTTGTAAAGCAATTGACTAAGTCTCTGCAGCCTTTCAAAGCCGACGATGATGAATTGTCCCAGGTACATTGCAGTCAAATAGCCTCATATCAGGAAGAGAGTACTCTTAGAGGGCGCCAGACTACACACGGCACAGTTGTGTAAGACTGCTCAGGAAACCATGGTTCATACACACTGCGAATGCAAGCATGTCGTTGAGTATTTGATGTGTTAGGTCTGTCGCTTTTAAGTTGATGCAGGCTACTACATCTCAAGTTATTTACGGCGTTCCAGGATATGTCAATAGAGCGGGGTTAATCCTATTACGGCCTGGCGGCGCCGCTTCCGTCTGGTCCGTCCCGTGTGTGGAGCCGACTAAAATCCCACGTGTAGCCGAGGGGGGGCCGATCCTGCCAAAGCGGGTGCCCTAGGGCACGCTGGCAGTCAGATCCAAAACGAAGAGGCTGACTGCAGGCAGAGAAACCGGGAAGTGCGGTTAAAGTTCGTGGGCAATACTACGTCGGACTCGCCAGGAACAGCATTCTCCGAGATGATATGTGTTATAACTCCTTTTGATCACCATTCAATATGATAATGACGCTGCCGCCCAAGGGATGGCAACCAAACCGGGACACTGTCAAAGCGAGTGACAAATATCGCACAAAATAACACCAAAAAAGGGGCGTGGCCAAGCCACATGTAATTGTTTGTACCCCCTATATCCTGTGCGACAACAAAGCTATCGCCGGGAGGGGCACAGCGGAAGGCAAGATTGAAATCGTGCTAGAGCGAGATAAGAGACTGTGGGGTAGCTTTCTTTTGCTCCAAACAGACTGCAGAGTCAAGTATAGCAATACCAGCTTTTAACAGGTAGTGGCCTATTTTATGGGCTACGTCATTCACTCAGATGGCGATTTCCTCAGCAGTCTGCAGCCTATTTCTCCTGCGATTGTCAGGCATCTATCACCACCTCAGTCATCTCACTTCCTTCCCTCGCTAATCCCATCTCCCCTCTATCATGCCGCGTTCAAGCGTGTGAGAAGAGAGCGACAACCAAATCTTGCTTTCGCAGAACAGCGTTGAATCCGGATTTGGGGAAAGGGTGCAGCAAGATGTGGCCTACAGATACTGCTTGCGCAGGTTTACACCATCCCTTGATACAAAACGACTAGTTGTCGTGGCCCTCGCAACCATCATCGCCGCCTTGGCTCTGGCAACACTGGCTCTGGAAGCTCTCACTCTGCGATTAGGGCCTTCATCTGACGGCGGCTCCATCAACCACTGCGGATCAAACACGGAAGAAGCTCTAGCTCTGGGCTGCAAGTTCGACGCCATCAACTACTCCTGGCAGCCGCCCGAGTGCTTCCATGAACAAGTCTACAAGCATTATTGGGACTCGACACGCGCGCAGGGGGCGCTCAAGTGGTACGCCGACTCGAACTTCACAAAGGAGCTGCCACAAGACATTGAGATCCTCATGCATACGCCACATGTGTGGTCGGAACATCGGCTTCATGTCGTGCATTGCCTGTACGACTGGGAGCTGATGCATTACGCACTGTCAATGAACAAGCCAGTGCCAGAGTTCATCTCGCGCCTCAACCATACCGTGCATTGTGCGGATACGGCCTTGGACCAACATTACAGAATCAAGGATACAGTTATCAAGGCTTCACATAATAGATGCGTCATGTTGGCACAGGCAAAAGTTGGTTAAATGTTTTGGAATCGATCGATATGGCCAAGCCAGGACTAGAACAGAAACGCGGGGAGATGTCGACGGTCTAATGGAAAAGGGGCGACCAGGACTCCCAAGATGGGTTGTGTTATTAATATTCTTGAAGATTGTAACAAGATATACTCTATATATTAACCGCTTACCCGTCCAAGAAGCGCTGAATTGGATAGATTGCCTGCCATGGATGGGTCCAACGTATGTAGTCATGAGCCAGACGGGCTATTGGACCATGGTATATAATGGCACCCTGAAGGCCATCTTGCCAAATGCTTTGTCTCTTTACTTTTTTCCCAGTCAAATATATACCATCATGACCTCTTCTAATGCGGCCAGGGAAGAACAGGAACCTCTTTTGGCCCGGGGAGACAGAGTCCGGGATGGCACAAGCACGGTACAATCGCAGGCCTCGTCGCACCAGGTTCCTGTTCTTGTGTTTGGGTACATTTCAATGTTCTTCTTGACGCTGTATCCTAGTATCTTCCACACGGCCCAGACTCAGACCATGGAGGGAAATATCTGCCAGATCCTCACCCCATCGTCACGAACCCAGTCGCGGACCTGCGCTGCAAGGACGCAGAGGTGCAGGCCGAGCTGTGGCTGGTGTTGAGTTTGGCGAGCACCTTTGGTCTGCTGCCGACGCTACTGTTTAGTATTCCCTATGGAATGGCTGCTGACGTCTATGGCCGCAAGCCCATCGTCATCCTATCTGCAATGGAATGTACCCTGTATGCTCTGACCGCAATGGTCGTCTGTATATGTTCGCCTTGGCTGTCATAAACCGACAACAAATTTAAACGCCCCTGAAGGCCGCTTTCCTAATACATTTCCGTCACGGCTTCTTGGGGCTGTGACTCTCACGTCAGCTGTCGGCGGTGGCTCGGCCATTGCCTTGTCAATTCTGTTTGCCATGGCGAATGATGTCGTGTCCAAATCACAGAGATGCGTATAACTTTCACCTCATGCCCTTGCCTTCATACCATTCGCACCGGTCCAACGCTCACGCAATATTGTACTGATAGATCCATGACGTTTTCGCTTTTAACAACCTCACGGCTCGTCGCTGTCCTCGTTAGTGGACCAATTACCCACGCCACTCCATCTCGGGGGCAATGGCTCACGTTTGCTGTATCAATGCTTGTCCAGTTCTTTGGGCTCCTGATGTCGCTTCTACTACCTGAGACGCCAACGCCGTTGTACTTTCTGCGTTTAGCCTTTGTTTGGAGCCGGCAATGCGTAGTCTCATTGTTTATTCGGCCAGAAATGCAGGCACCGGGATGGTTTTCTCCATCATGGAGCTGCTTCAAGCCCTGGCTTTCATAGCCTCTGGTCCTGTTGTTGCCTCGAGCTTCCGGCTAGATCTCCCTTGGGGTGGGCAGTGACTAGGGCTGCCCTTGTTGATCGCAGCTTGCATGGCGATGCCTGGGGTTGTGATTATATTTGCTCTGAGAATTGAAGAGACTAAAGACGAGGAGGAGGAAGCATTTTGGCGCCGAGGAGTAGAGTAATGGCCACCTTGTTGCTGCTTTATAACTAGCAAAGAGATTAACATCCGATGCACACGCCTTGACCCATCTTCTTGTATCGCACCAAAAAATGGGCGTGGCCACGCCACATGTATTGATGTGCTGATTGGTATTGACCCCTTATGTAGCCTTCCGACATCTTGGTGCGCCCATTTTTTGTTTGGCAGTTTTGCATGCAAAAGGCTGGGTCAATCCAATCGAGACAAGGAGTCGGGTTTCCAACTTCGCTTGGAAGGCCGCGCGGCAAGGTATATACATGCATGTATGTATGCGTGGCACACCCAATTTTCAAGCCGACTTGACCGGACACGTCACATTCATGGCTCTTAAAGTTCAACTGGTGGACATGGATGCAGCTCCTGGCGCTGTGCCCCCTGCACAGTCCATATTCATCAACATTGAAATGTCCAGGTTCGGTCAATGCATGTGGAGGAAAACGAATCAAGAGCGGTGAAGACGGCCGGGAGGCAAGACGCTGGGGGCACATTGACATCAATGCATGCAGCTTCATCCAAGTCATTCAATGTGGCACTGGGCGTTTAAATCTAGCTCCTATTCCCCAATTGTCCAATCCATACAACCAGTCCATTCAGCGAGGGCCTCGTGACGACGCATCTTCAACACCAGACACTTATCCCGTCTTCTCCATCATGGGCAGTAGCCAACAAATGTACGCATGCCATCCCCTTACGCAAGCATGCGCTGACGTGACAAAAAGTGAGGTCGATGTCCTGATCATCGGTGCTGGCCCAACTGGCCTGGGTGCTGCCAAGCGTCTTCAGCAATTGGTATGCTCCAAAATCATCATGACGGCCCCATTGGTGGTCACTGACAGCTTGTGACGGAAGAACGGCACGTCGTGGCTCATTGTTGACTCTAATACGACGCCTGGTGGTCTCGCATCGACAGATGTCACTCCAGAGGGTTTTGTGAGTTCCTCGGCTTGTCTCTGCTATTCTTTTTTTGACATGGACCAAAATATCTAGCTGTTCGACGTTGGCGGACATGTCATCTTCTCCCACTACAGCTACTTCGACGACTGCCTCAACGAAGCCCTGCCCAAGCCCGACGACTGGTACACGCACAAGCGCATCTCGTACTGCCGCTACCAGGGCCAGTGGGTTGCCTACCCCTTCCAGAACAGCATCGCCGCGCTGCCTCAAGAGGAGCAGTCGAGATGCCTAGAGGGAATCATAGAGGCTGCCCTGCAGGCCCGTGGCCGCGATCCCGCAGACAAGCCGAACAACTTTGACGAGTGGAATATCCGGAATCTGGGACAACGCCTGACCGACATCTTCATGCGACCGTACAACTTTAAAGTTTGGGCCGTTCCCACAACAATGGTACGGGTTTACCGTTGTTTCGATTTCCCAGCATCATGAGACCCCGCCCTGACAGACGCTTTTCATTCTAGATGAACGCGACGTGGCTCGGAGAGCGAGTCGCCGCGCCCAATGTCAAGCTGCTCACGTCCAACGCTGTGCTGAACAAGGTGGCTGGACCATGGGGGCCCAATGCTACGTTCCGCTTCCCGGCGCGTGGCGGAACTGGTGGCATCTGGATCGCCGTGGCCAACACCTTGGACAAGCACAAGACGAACTTCGGTCAGCATGCCACTGTGACAAAGGTCGATGCCGACGCAAAGAAGGTGTATCTGAAAGATGGTGAGTCCAAGGTGAACCCCCAAAGCAAGATCCTACTGACCGCTGAAACTGGAGGCACCGTGGTCAAATACTCGTCTCTCATCTCGACCATGGCTGTTGACCACCTCGCCGCGTCCATGGGCGACGTCAAGCTCCAGCAGATGTGCAAGCGTCTGGTATACTCCTCCACAAATGTAATTGGTGTTGGCATTCGCGGCAAACGCCCCGAGCGTATCGGCGACAAATGCTGGGTCAGCACTTACACGGGCGTCACCCCAAGATGCATCCAAACCGATGCTAACCATCATCAATAGCTGTACTTTTCCGAGGACAATTGTCCCTTCTACCGGGCCACCATCTTCTCCAACTACTCCCCATATAACCAGCCGCACGACAAGGTTGAACTAGTCACCAAGCAACTGGCCAACGGCAAGCAGCCAAAGTCGTCGGCACCGCAGCCAGGACCGTACTGGTCCCTTATGCTCGAGGTCTCTGAGTCGTCGTACAAGCCTGTCAACCATGAAACACTTCTTGCGGATTGCATTCAGGGCCTTGTCAACACGGAGTTACTAGACCCTGAAGATGAGATTGTCAGCACATATTTCCGGCGCTTCGATCACGGATATCCTACGCCACACCTGGATCGCAATGACGCCCTGGCAGATATCTTGCCCCATCTCCAAAACAAGGACATTCTGTCCCGGGGCCGCTTTGGCTCATGGAAATATGAGGTTGGCAACCAGGACCACAGGTGAGTCACGACTTGTTGCCTCGCGCTTGGGAAAAGCTATGCTCATTTCCTCTTAACAGCTTCATGCTGGGCGTCGAGGCCGTGGATCGCATCCTGTTCGGCGGCATCGAACTGACACTGGGATACCCCGACTTTGTCAACGGCCGCGCCAACACGGAGCGCCGCTTGAATACGATCAAGAGCTTATCCAAACGGTCATGAGGAGCTTACGAACTAGAATTGGCAGCTACTTTTGTTGGTTCTACTGGTAATGGTGGCTTGCACCTTTCTGCAAGATACGTGTTTTCAAGTGTAGGCGTAAAGATCATCGAATTTACCACCAAGCTAGGCGGTGCATAGTCATTGAGTCTGGTACTAATTGTTAGAGCAGCTTCTGAGGCAGCATACCGGCCGTAGTCTACTAGTTCCTTGGGTTCAAAGTAATATTGACTCCTGGAGAAAAGCGGTCGGAAGGAAGGTACAAAGTACTAGAGTATTTTATGCAGCTGAATTGCTACCTCAAACCGTTGTTCCAAGTTTCTGCCGATTTCATGGATCTGGGACTCAGACTCCATCTTTAGCTTTAGCCCTCAAATTCCAAGTGTTCATCTGGCAGGATATATGCTATCCTGGGACCTACATATTTAAATTTATCTGTAACCCGGTATGGCTGTCTGTCGCGAGCAGTTGATACTACTTTCAAGTAACTATCGGACAGCCACTCTCTTAACGAGGCGGTTTCAGACATCTTGTATACCTCTTCCCTCTGACTGTGACAAGGGCTAAAGGCTTGGAGTATCATGACTCGATTCATCTAATAGAAGTCTTTGGTATTAAAGATCCCTCGTTTTCCTCAAGGCCTAGTTAACCAAAGAAGTCTATTTATACAAGAAGTTGCTCGATAAGACCGGCTCACTTGCCAAAGGGAAGGCCCCATTCCAGCAACACAGCTTCATATTGTTGCGTAGAGAAATCGCAGATACCCGCCAATTCTCCGGTCAAGCGAATAATGACCACCGTTCCATCACCCCTGCCACGAGAGAAATTCCAGTAATTGCCATGCTCAAGCCTTTTGGCACCATAACAGACGCAGCTGCGCTCTTCTTTGAAGCCGTGGCGGCTGCAGCAGAGCCGGAAGCCCCTGATTCGGAATCCTTTCCATTGCTCGCCGAGGCCGCAGTAATCGTGTAAACGACCTTGTCGCCCCCATTCGTATAGGAGAAGACGGAGCCGCTCGGGGGTGCAGTAACAGATCCAGGATTGTTGCTCAAAGTCGCGGTGCCACTGGTAGGCAAGCTGCTGGGCGGGAAATATGTGCTCACGCCTGCCAGCGAGAAGTTGAGATCTGATGCGCAGTTGATCTTGGTCATCGGCTGGCATTCGCGGAAGTTGATGTCGAGTTGAGTCTGGATCTTGGACACCGAGGCCATGCCGACCAAATCGGGTTTCGTGTCGGGACATATCTCGAAAATACTAGATCAAAACAGTCAGAAGTTGCGGCAAAGAGCATGGCCGAGAATACAACTTGCACAACCCGCCTGCTCACCTCGACATGGCGCCGCTGATTTCGCAACAGCCACAAGCGCCAATCTTGTCACCGCGTAGAATGGTATCCGCGCCATGTACGTTTTTCATGCAGCTCGCGCCCTGGGTTATGCTGTCTGTAATAGCTTTGTACACCTTGCCGACGTTGCATGAGCAAGCACCGGCAGCATTGTCCGGAATGGGAAAATACGGAACGGGTAGCTTGGCAATGGGACAGTCCATGAGATACGAGACAAGGTATTCTTGGTACTCGCATTCCCAGACACGGTTCCAACAGTGCGCCGCATAGCAGTTGTAGTTCAGGATATAATCTTCACACGCACAGGCCTGTTGAGCTACCCCGTCGCCCTTGGTTTTTGAGAAACAGGCGTCGATCTTTTCGTTTGCGACGTTTTGACAGCTCTGGAATCCGGGAGCATCAGCGCGTCCGTTGCTGGTCAAGTTGCCCACGGCGTTGGCAATGGCCGCCACAGAGAGAAGCGTAAGCAACTTGCGAGACATGGTCGCAACTTATTGCTTCGAAGATTGGTAGACCACGAAGAAATTTACTCTCTGTGTGCTTTGAATGTTCTATGACAAAAAAAAAAACTTTCGTTCCTTCTTTATTTTAGACTGGCGGCCTAGACGCCCCTATGTAATACCATTTTGCGTGAGGCTGAATTCGATGTGCCGTTTAGCCGAACTACGCGGAAACCATGTTGAGCACAATGCTTACTTGGACTTTTAGATTCGTCAGCTCATGTGCCACAAGGGCTTCGACTTCCGCTCAAAGTTTTACGCTACAGGCAAAGCTGATTGTTTGAACAGGGAAGGTCGACCGGCCTCAGCCCAGCACGCTTCATAGTCCGTTGCCTGAGAAAAGCGAATTCGCATGTAAGAATAGAAGCCTAATCACGACCATTGCCTTGCGTCGTGTTTATAAATTTAATTTTTAAAACTAGGTATAGACATATGGCGATGATGCCAAAGATAGTCTTGACACCAGTTCAGGCGCCGGAAATCACAGAGTTGGTGTATATGCAGATGAGCCTTATGCAGCATTTATAGTCTTGTCAAACAGATGTCTGTGGATCAAGTACTCGTTTCGAGGATAGATTCACAACATATTATTTTTTTCGTAATTTCAACCCTCGTGCTGCCCAGGGAAAGAATCTGCAGTGATTCTTTCCTTGTTGCACAAGACAGATTAGCCAACTCCCCGCAATGGCTATTCGTAAGATCGGCCGGAAGTCCGGCACGGTGGTCTTGTGGATGAGCTCGGTTCGTGAACAAGGTTCTACAATTTCAGCCCTAGAAGCTTATGCGCACTGAGCAGCCGGATGGCAATGCGACAACATACTAGCATCGGGGAGTGCATGGGTATTCAACCCCTGAATTTACCGTTATTACCAGAATGCACGCGCCTAATTTGGAAAAGAACGGCCCCAGAATAACCCTAACCCTAACCATCCTTCTACCCAAGAATTAAGAATCATGACGAGTGATAAGAAGTTAAAGGGTAGCCTCAGTCTAGTATGGACTGAGAAACTTGCAGATAATACGTATTTGTAGATGCATTGAAGTCACAATGCATAGATACTTAAGTAAAAAGACTGGACTAATGTTCAGAAACAACATTGAATAATATGCAATGCTTTAACCAAGACAAGTGGCCGTAGGATGTATCACAAAGCTCGTCATCTGATCCCGCTCTTCCCTCCAATCACTCGAATCACATTCGCCCTAATACAAAAGGGTACACAGATCCCGCATAACCGGATACTTGAACACATCCTTGACAGCAAGTGGCAAGCCAGTCTTGCGTGCCAAACCAACTAGCTTCATCGCCCCGATGGAATCACCCCCGATACGGAAGAAACTGTCGTCGATGCTGATATTGTCAGGTTCCATGTTGAGCACTTCAGCCCAAAGTCCCTGCATCAACTGTTCGGAATCAGTCGTCGGCGCCCTGCGCTCGCCCTCAGTGCGACTCAAGGCGGCGATATCCGTCAACGTCAGAGAAGACCCGTAGCTGCGCAAGTGCCGACGGTCAGTCTTCCCCGTCGGCGTCATGGGAATGTTTCGAACCGGAATGAATACGCTCGGGATCATGAATGGCGGTAGCCGCTCGCCCAATCCTCCAGCGACACCACGCGTTGCACCTCGTACTGCCTGTTCGTAGTCTTGATCGCTCACTTCGTCCCCGGAACCCATACAAACAAATGCCACCAACATGATTCCGTGGCTGCCCGTTGGCCGGATTGTCTCGGCTACAACTGTCACCATGTTGCCTTGCGCAGCAGTGGAAACCGCATCTTGCACATAATGCTCGACTTCCTCCAGCTCTACTCGCTGTCCGCGAATCTTGACCTGCGTGTCTTTTCGGCCCTTGAATACGAGACTGCCGTCCTCGCGGTATTGCACCAGATCTCCCGTGCGGTACGCTCGGCCGCGGCGGCCAGGCCGCTTACCAGGAACGCCTCGAAGAAGCCACTCGGGATCTTGGACGTACGCTGCCTTTGTTTTCGCCGGGCTGTTGACGTACCCTGCTCCGACGAGGGCTCCCTCCAGCCAAAGCTCGCCGACTGTCCCAATGGGCGCCAATCTGTCAGGATGCTCCGCATCAACAACCCAGGTGCATAGCCCGGATGCAAGACCCAAGCCACCGTCGCTGTGACAAGTCAAGGGCAATATCAGGCTGGTTGGCGTGCACTCTGCCGGTCCGTATGCACTGACTACGCGTGCCCCTTCACGCACATATTGTGCGTCGCTGGGCAGGACAACCTCGCCACCTAGAAGCATCGTGGACAGCTGCGTGAGGGCCGTCTTTGGCTCGATATTGCGCAGGACGGATGGTGTGAAATCCGCCACTGTAGCTTGGTACTTTTCTAAGCAGCCCGAAATGCTGTCTTGCCGCTCTTCAGCTGATGGTATGCACAAGCATCCGCCTGCCGTCAGGGTATTCATCATATTAGACCATACCACATCAAACGCATACGATGAAAAGTCCAGAACGCGCGAGTTGCTTTCGAAGCCAAGCAACTCTCTCTGGTGAACAATTGCGCTGCAGTAATTCCCATGCGTGACCATGGCACCCTTGGGCACGCCCGTGGTGCCGGACGTAAATATTATATACAGAATATCCGAGGCATCGATTTCCGGAAGGCTGGGTTCGTGGTCCAAAGACAGGGCAAACTCGAATAGTCGTTCAAGATCCACTGATATGACGTTGCCAGCGCCTAGCCTTTTGGCCATGTCGGTATAGGCCACAGAGGCCAAGATTGTCTTTGCTTCGATCTGTGCCGTCATGCCTCGTAAACGCTCCTCTGGCTGGTTGGACGGATCTGTAGCAACACACGCAGCGCCAGTCTTCATGATGGCCAATGCAGAGACTGGCATCCACATGGATTTCTCAAAGCACAGCGGAATCATGTCCCCCTTTTCGACCCCGACCTTTCTCAAATGATAGGCCAGAGTAGTAGACAAGTCGTCCAGTTGTTGGTAGCTTAGGGATCCGTCCCATGCATGTATAGCGGTAGCGCCAGGTTGTCGGTGGACAGTCTCACGGATCATGCGAGGCATGTTGTCGGACACGGCTTCGGGAAGCTTGGCGTTCCAAGTCCAAATATCCTGGAGGTCTCTGCTGCTCGTGATTGACACATCCTGCACCTTGAGTTCACCTGCTTCCGGGCTGAGAA